GCCACAACTACAACACAACAACTACAACACCTCCAACACAGCACCTACAACCCAACAGCCACAACTACAACACAACAACTACAACACCTCCAACACAGCACCTACAACCCAACAGCCACAACTACAACACAACAACTACAACACCTCCAACACAGCACCTACAACCCAACAGCCACAACTACAACACAACATAACACAACACTACACAACACCCACAACTACAACACAACATAACACAACACAACACCTGCAACACAACACCTACAACACAACACCCACAACTACAACACAACATAACACAACACTACAACACAACACCTACAACACAGCACCTACAACACAACACAACACGTACAACATGACATAACACAACACTACACAACACCTACAATACAGCAACTACAACACAACACCTACAACACAGCAACTACAACACAACTACAACACAACACCTACAACACAACATAACACAACACTACACAACACCTACAACACAACACCTACAACAAAACTACAACATAACACCATCCAACACAACAACTACAACACAACACTACCCAACACCTACAACACAACATAACACAACACTACACAACACCTACAACACAGCCCCTACAACACAACAGCCACAACTACAACACAACATAACACAACACCAACAACACAACACCTACAGCTACAACACAACATAACACAACACTACACAACACCAACAACACAGCACCTACAAAACAACACCCACAACTACAACACAACACTACACAACACCAACAACACAGCACCTACAACACAACATTACACAACACCTACAACACAACACCCACAACTACAACACAACATAACACAACACAACACCTGCAACACAACACCTACAACACAACACCCACAACTACAACACAACATAACACAACACTACAACACAACACCTACAACACAGCACCTACAACACAACACAACACGTACAACATGACATAACACAACACTACACAACACCTACAATACAGCAACTACAACACCACACCTACAACACAACAACTACAACACAACTACAACACAACACCTACAACACAACATAACACAACACTACACAACACCTACAACACAACACCTACAACAAAACTACAACATAACACCATCCAACACAACAACTACAACACAACACTACAACACAAGACAACACAAGACAACACAAGACTACACAACACCTACAACACAACACTACAACACAACATAACACAACACTACACAACACCTACAACACAACTACAACACAACAACTACAACACCTACAACACAGCACCTACAACACAACAGCCACAACTACAACACAACATAACACAACACCAACAACACAACACCTACAGCTACAACACAACATAACACAACACTACACAACACCAACAACACAGCACCTACAAAACAACACCCACAACTACAACACAACACTACACAACACCAACAACACAGCACCTACAACACAACATTACACAACACCTACAACACAACTACAACACAACAACTACAACACCTACAACACAGCCCCTACAACACAACATTACACAACACCTACAACACAACTACAACACAACAACTACAACACCTACAACACAGCCCCTACAACACAACATTACACAACACCTACAACACAACTACAACACAACAACTACAACACCTACAACACAGCCCCTACAACACAACATTACACAACACCTACAACACAACTACAACACAACAACTACAACACCTACAACACAGCCCCTACAACACAACATTACACAACACCTACAACACAACTACAACACAACAACTACAACACCTACAACACAGCCCCTACAACACAACATTACACAACACCTACAACACAACTACAACACAACAACTACAACACCTACAACACAGCCCCTACAACACAACATTACACAACACCTACAACACAACTACAACACAACAACTACAACACCTACAACACAGCCCCTACAACACAACATTACACAACACCTACAACACAACTACAACACAACAACTACAACACCTACAACACAGCCCCTACAACACAACATTACACAACACCTACAACACAACTACAACACAACAACTACAACACCTACAACACAGCCCCTACAACACAACATTACACAACACCTACAACACAACCCCTACAACATAAGATAACACAACACTACACAACACCTACAACACTACACCTACAACACAACTACGACATAACACCATCCAACACAACAACTACAACACAACACTACAACAAAAGATAACACAACACAACATAACACAACACTACACAACACCTACAACACAACACCTACAACACAACTACAACACAACACTACAACACAACACTACACAACACCTACAACACAACACCTACAACACAACAACTACAACACCTACAACACAATAGCCACAACTACAACACAACACTACACAACACCTACAACACAACATAACACAACACTACACAACACCTACAACACAACACCTACAACACAACAACTACAACACAACACTACACAACACCTACAACAAACACAACTACAACACAACATAACACAACACTACACAACACCAACAACACAACTACAACACAACAACTACAACACAACACTACAACAAACACAACTACAACACAACAACTACAACACAACATAACACAACACTACACAACACCTACAACAAACACAACTACAACACAATGCTACAACACACTTTCTCAGTACAACACCTGACCATTCAACACCTGAACACACTACAGTCTTCTACTTGACCATCAACACGTCTCTGAACAAAATGAACATTAAAACCTTCATGAAGATCATGCATCAGTGGTAGCTAGGTGTTCCTAATAAACTGACAACTTGTTGATGTAACAGCCAGATACAGTATGAACCTAACCACAGCTCCTCCTGAGAGTTACATACATCAACTAGTGACAAATAACGTCAGTCACAAAAAGAAACAACACTTCGTCATGATCTCTTTTTAAAGTATAAAAACGTGTATAAGTATGTTCAAGAATGTTTTCAGTCAGGAAAGAAGC